ATAAAATAAACTTCTTCTTTACTTCTTGATAACTGACAGCGTATTTGACAGGAGATTTGCATTTTCAAACTGCATGGTACGTACAGACGTTGGATCCCTGCGGAACGCAGACAACGCGCTCATAAAATAAACTTCTTCTTTACTTCTTGATAACTGACAGCGTATTTGACAGGAGATTTGCATTTTTAAACTGCATGGTACGTACAGACGTTGGATCCCTGCGGAACGCAGACAACGCGCTCACAGGCTGCCAACGCCTGGGGAGTTGTGGGGGGGGTCTTTCATGTTTCCATCCTTCTGAACGGTCTCGATTTCTACCTGCCCTTCCTTCCTGGCAGCTTTCCCATCGATTTACTCAACTGCAAAACGCCGGGACGGTTACACCGGTTCATCGGCCCAGCAAAGTGAGCTGACGCACCTCTCCTCCAGCCCTCCCACTGGAAGGCAAGGCCACCTAAGCCTTCTTCTGGGAGATGTTGGTCCAGACAGTTCTCAACCTTCCCCCTAGGGATGAGGACCCCGGGGCTTTCGCAAACACACCGCCGTGCTTTGTTGCAGACGCAGGCAGGGACGCTTTCCCAGTGCCCACTCAAGCCCACCACTTCTTGCCCTACGCACCGTAGGCATGGAGAAGAGATCATTCCCTTCCTCGCTGCCTTCTCCAGGTGTACCTTCAACCCCCAACTTCCTTTTCTTTAGACTAAGCAATACCAGCTCTTCTGCTTCCTGACCGTTCTCCCTGCTCTCTCCCAGACTCACTTCAGCTTGTCCAATTTTTTCCTCAAAGTCTGGTGCTTGACCCAGACATCTTCTGCCACCTGAGACGTCAGCAGTGGACAGAGGAATGGGAAAATGACTTTACACGAAGGCTGGATTTCTGCTTCTGCTACATATGACAGTGTCTTTTCTTGCTCCAGCAATGATACTGCTGACTCATGTTTGTCTTCAAACTCACAGCAAACCCCAGAATGTTTCTCAAAGTCATCAGCTCCCCTAGGCAGAGAGAGGCGATCCATGGAGCGCCCAGCCCTTGGCCTCGCTGTCTCACTGTCCAGTTTCTTCAGGCCGTTTTCCTAAGATCATTTTGAATTCTAACCTGTCCCTACCAACACACCTGCAGGCCTTCCCAAACTCCTGCAATATGCAAATAAAATAGGCCTATATTCTCCCTTCGCCCATGCATTAATGAACATCCTGAGCAAAACCTGATTTGGGATAAATCGCTGAGGATTTATGCAAACTGCCCTCCCATTGAGAGAGCGAAGCACAAACAACTCTCTGTCTAGCTGTGTGCCCAGTTCTGCTGTTGTATACTCATCATGACCCTAGCCCATAAGTCTATTTACCTGAATATGAAATGAAACAGGACCACAATTTCACTAAAATACATTTTGACAGTTATTTATCTCATTTCTTTCATTTTGATAATTTATTGACTCAAACTTCAACTCAGACACTACAGCTCAGTACAGCTTTCCCTCTCTGCTGAATATCACTGTTCACTGGCAAATAAGAAAGCAATGAAGTTCTTCCACTTTACAGAGAAAAAGAGTGGATGATGTTAGAACTGATTCAAGGGTAGGAACCAAAATTTTCCGAATTGACTTGTGGCTATAAGAAAGCAATGAAGTTCTTCCACTTTACAGAGAAAAGGAGTGGATGATGTTAGAACTGATTTGAGGATAGGAACCAAAATTTTCCGAATTGACTTGCGGCTAGAAGGGTTTCACCTGGAAACCTATTTAGAAGACTCAGGTTTCAGAGGAGATGTCTACACTTTCAGAGCGATGTACGGTAGCCTGGCACAAACCCCCGAGACACCTGGCCAGCAGTAGTTGTCCCTCCTCGGCTCCCCCAGCACCGGCCACGCGGTCACTTCACCAGCTGGCACCGCGCAGCAAGCTGCCACCAGCCCTGCACCACCAGGAACCCTGCGACCGCTGCCCCAGGAACACCCCGACACCCGGAGCGTGGGCGCTGATGGGTGGCCTCACATCGTTATTTCTTACAATCAAGCTGTTGGAAACTTCTGTCTGAATCGAGGAGGATCTGTTTGCCAACACGATTTGCGGTTTCTGGACCTAAGTAAGACTCACAAGTCCTCGTAAAAGCTGCCTGAAGCTGCCTATTAAATTCCAAGTCATACATCTTTACGTAGGAATCACACTGTAATCATGAGGGTGTCAGGAGGATGGGGCCAGACTCTTTTCAGTGGTGCCCAGTGACAGGACAAGGGGCAACGGGCACAAACTGAAGCAGAGGAAGCCCCAGCTGAACC